AGCGGCAAGAGGAGGAGGGAATGAGAGAGACAGAATAAGAGAGGGAGAGTGTACAGGGTGAGGAAGGGAGCTACGTAATGCCGCGTATACGCGTATATGCCATAATGTCCGGCGATATACTGCCCGCGGCCAACGGGCGAGAAGAGGGCGATCAAAAGAGGAAGAGAGGGAGAGAGAGAGAGAGAGAGAGAAGGATCGTTTCAGGCTTCTTCCGCAGGATAGGATACTTTCCGCTCGGCGGTCGTCACGCTGCTCCACACCCCCGTACATACGCACGCGAGCCGGCGCATAAATCCATGTACACCCACTCAGCTCATCTTTAATCCGTTAGATTCCGTGAATGCTTGCGGCCGGCCTCCTACTCACGACGTTGATTCGAGGCCGCGATTCCGCGTAATTGGGATTAGATTATTAGAGAGTCCTGCCTCTGCCAACCTCTCTGTCTCTCGTACCCCTCCCCCCCCTCTCACTCTCTCTCTTTCTCCTTCTCGCCATCTCCCCCAATCTGTCTTTCTCTCGCTCCCGGCAGACAGGAATTCGCATCATCGCGCGCACGTTTCAGTGGAAACGTGGATTACGCTGCCGAGCGCGTTATCCCTTCTCTCGCTCTCGCGACTCAAAGCGACCGACGAGGCGCTTGGTCGTTTTAGGGGATGGACACGCGCAAAACGCGCTTAATCTTTCTTCCGCACTGCCTTCATTAGCTCCCCTTAACGCGAAACCGTGAGACTCGCGCGTTCGTTCCATCAGCCCTCGGCGACACGCAACTCATGCAACTTCCCGACGATATGTGAAGTCAGAAATCGCGTATTGTCTTTGCGATAAATTCCGGGGAGAGTCTCTGCTTGGCAACGAGAGACTTTTCAAGAATGGTCTCGCGTATGTGCGGCATAGGTTAATTCCGCGAACGGAGTGATGCGATTATTTGCCAATGCGAACAATGCTCCATTTCATAGCGCACAATATGAACGAAAGCTCTAGCTCGATAAAGGTGGAGGAGGAAGAGGTGGAGGAGATTTCTTTTTTCTCCTTTTAGCTCGTAGAAGAGACGCGACGAAAAACGCTCGATCGTATACAGGCGAGCATTCATAGAAACGATTCGCCATTCAGCGTCGTTTCCTCGCGTCTTTCTCTCCCCCTCTCTCTCTCTCTCTTTCTTTCTTGCACTGACCGCGCGCGAACGGAAACTTCGATATACCATCGTCAGATAAGCCTGGCCGATCGATCGCAAACACAGCTGGGTTCACTCAGGTAATCCGAACACAACGAGCCGTTGTGTTACCACGACGATTCTCCGCGGCTTTGTGTACCTACCCGCCGTCTTCTCCGCCGCGATCCTCTGCACACGCAGCTTGCCGCGGTTCTGTGTATTTCGCTATCTTTCGGTTGTCCTCGGCAACGCCAACCCTGTTTGCCCGGATTAACCGACTAGACGACTCCTAAATAGTCCGTCTGAATTCATTCTCTCACGAGCTGGCTAACTAGTCTACTCCAACTACGGACAGAACTTGGAGCATTACTAAAGTTGATTTGCGCGAATTTGTCCGATTTCTGTCATTCGCATAACATGTTTGATGTGTGACACATATAGAGCTGTACGTATTACATAAGGGACGCGAGCCTCTTCTCACAGACTCATCACCGTGACTCCAACGTGAAACATCGGTACTAACGATCGACCACCCTCTTGTTTGCTGTTGCAGGTACGACCTGGGCTTGCGTCGGAGTAGCTAGTGAACCGTATCTCGCTGGCGACGAAAAGAATAAGACGGGGAAGCAATCGGCGAGGACGTGGGTGAGTGTAACGCGCGGAAGAAGAAGAAGAGGCAGTCCGGAGAGCGCAGACGCAGGCGCCGTAGGTGATGTGAGGCTGGCGCCCGCCTCACGTTTGGGGTGATGCCCTCCAGTGAGCCCCATCCCCCCCAGTACCACCTTCAACACCACAACATTCCTCCCTCGCATCTACAGCAAAATACGTCGACCGCGATCGGGCAGCATCAGCTCTATCAGCAGCTGGTGGCGGCCCATCAACAGCAACAGCGCCAGCAGCAACACGGCGTACCCTTTCAAAATTCCACGTACGCGCAGCAGAAGCAAGAGATGAGCCCGGAGGAGGAGGGGGGCCGCGGGGGTGGGTCCCCCCCGGCGGCTGGGGCTGCTCTTCATCAGCCCCATCACCCCCGCACGGCTAGTCCACCCTCGGGCACGGAACCCTGCACTCGCGACGCGATACCGACACCGACACCCATCGCGGACACAACCACCACCACCACAACTATGACGATGCAGTTGCAGGGTCAACAGCAACAGCAACAGCAGGATCCGAGCCCGAGCCCGAGTCCGACGGGCGGTGACGTGGAAAAGTTCGATGGCAAGATCGTGTACAATCCGGACGGATCGGCCTACATCATCGAAGGTGAGAGCGAACTCAGCGAGGACGACTCTCTACCGGACGGCTGTATCGTGGACGGGCGCGGTGTATCGGTTCCTCACACCTTAGTTTTCCCACAAATCGCGAGCGCGTTCTACGTGTCGCGGCTGTACGCGCAGCAGGCCTACCAGCAGCAGCAACAGCAGCAACAACGCTCCGCGGTCCAACAGCACAATCCCGATCTTCCCGTGATGCACAGTTACCGGGTGATCAGTTACAGGAGCGCGGAAGGCAGCAAGCAACCACCTCCGGCGCCCACAGTGCCACCGTCGCCTGCCGCGTCAGTACCTGTCAAGCCTATTCTAATGTGTTTCATATGCAAGCTCAGTTTTGGCTATGCCAAGAGTTTCGTCGCGCATGCCCAAGGCGAGCATCAACTCACATTGATGGAAGACGAACGGCAGATTCTCTCTCACTCGACCGCATCGGCTATTATACAAGCCGTAGGTAGAGGAAAGCAGCCGCTCGTCAGTTTTCTGGAACCTGTCACGAGCTCGACCTGTGCGCAGGTGTCGCCCGCACCTTTGCAAAATCAACAGCAACAACAAAGAAATGAATCCATCGAGAACGAGACACCGACGACAACGAGCACGCCAGCAAGTACTCCCGGCGTGCCCAGCAGTCCTCAGCAACAGCAGCAATCGCAACAGCAACAACACCACCAGCAGATCCAACAGCAGCAACAACAACAACGACCCTCGCCGAGCACCCCCACCACGCCCACGTCGCATTCGAATCATCCGCTCACATACAATCATCAGCAACAACAGCAACATCAGTGGATGACCGGCGGGCAGGTGAGTGCCGCGTCTTGGGCGAAAGCGTCCGATGCTATGCATTACACCTCGCCACCGCCGCCGAGTTCGTCCACCAAAGGATCACCGTCTTCGTACGTCGCTCTCACGCAACAACCACCAAACTTTCTCACCGGCACGACGATAGGAGTTTGTCCGGAGCATATGCAGGGAAGACCGAGCGGGGTGGAGTGTCCCAAGTGCGAGCTCATACTGAACCGTCACCCTCCCGGCGGAATGCTCGCAGGCATCCACAGCCGGAACTCGTGTAAGACTCTCAAATGTCCCAAGTGTAACTGGCACTATAAATATCAGGAGACCCTCGAGATACACATGAAGGAGAAACATCCGGATAGCGAAACATCCTGCATCTACTGCATCGCCGGGCAACCTCATCCTAGGTTAGCGCGCGGTGAGACTTATACCTGCGGCTACAAGCCGTACAGATGCGAAGTGTGCAATTACTCGACCACTACGAAGGGCAATCTCAGCATACACATGCAGAGCGACAAACATCTCAACAACATGCAGGAATTACAGCAAGGCGGCGGGGGTGGCTCCGGCACCAACAACCCCTCCTCGTCGCAGGACGCTCCAATGCCGACGCGGAGTCCCCACCATCAGCAGAATCACAGCCCGCACCTGGCGGCCCAAGGTGGCAATCAGAGCAAGCCGAAGCCCACGTTTCGCTGCGACGTGTGCAACTATGAGACGAATGTCGCACGCAATCTTAGGATACACATGACCAGCGAGAAGCACACGCACAACATGCTGGTGCTGCAACAGAACGTCAAGCACATGCAGACTCTGTCTGCGCTGCAGTCGCACCACCAACAGGCGCAGCACCATCATCAGCAGGCTCAACAGCAGCACCAGCAACAGCTCGAGCAATTGCTGCACTTGGGCGGCTTGGACAAGCCGCAACACGCGGAGGCGGCGTTGGCAGACATGGCTTACAACCAAGCGCTGCTCATACAAATGATGACAGGCGGTCAACTGCCGCCACAATTACCACCGGAGCTCATGGGTGGCATCGCAAGCATAGGCGCCATGGGTAATCTTGGCGGTGACATTGGCCTGTCGCCGGACAGCATGGAACCGCCGCCGGAACCCGCCGACCCAGACCCCACGCATCTCTATCACTGCTGTGTGTGCAACAATTTCGCCACGGATTCGTTGGACGCGCTGAGCCATCACTTAGGCGCCGACCGAACGAGAACTCGCGAAGGCGAAATCCTCGTCGTAGTAGCCGGACATTTTGTCTGCAAGCTCTGTTCCTACAAGACCAACCTGAAGGCGAACTTTCAGTTGCACTGCAAGACCGACAAGCATCTGCAACGTCTGCAGCACGTAAACCACGTGAAAGAGGGTGGCCCGCGGAACGAATGGAAACTCAAGTACTTGGCGTCGCCCACGAGCGCTGCGCAATTGCGCTGCCACGCGTGCGACTACTACACCAACAGCGCTCACAAACTGGCACTGCACGCCGCCTCGCCCAGGCACGAGGCCGCGGCGCTTCTGCTACGTCACCTCGTCGAGACGAGCAGCAACATCCAATCCCCAGGCAAACTGTATCACTGCGCTCTGTGTGCGTTCAGCGCGCGACACCGATTGCAGCTACTGCAACACGTGAGGTCGTTGCGGCACCTTCAGATGGAGCAACTACATCAGCTCCAGCGACGAAACAGTTTCCAAGGCAGCGAAACCCCGCACACGGATATCGGCGACGTGTTTCAGGTGATGAGCGACCCTGACGTGCCGTCCACGCAACAATGCAGTCCGACCACACCGACAACACCGAATGCTGCGAGCGCCAACAGTGGTGAGCTATATTACTGTTTGACAATTCCTTTCTCAAAAGAAACGATTTTCCCAGTACAAAATAATAGATTATACATGACCAGTGATCTTCAATCACAAATGATACTAGTCCTCCGAAAAAGAAAGAAATGAACAGTTCAACGACATCAAACACCGCGCCAACAATAATGAACTATATCAAAGTGTTTGACAATTCTTTTCTCGAGAGAAGCAACGCGTGTTCTGGTAATAAGCACAACGCGATGAGTAATTTTCAATTACTAAGCGTACATGAATCCTTAAAAGAAATTAATTAATTAAAATTGAAAGATATATGCGAATAATAAGAGTCAATTCTCAATTTGATGATATCTATGTATATTATATACATATATATATATATATATATAAAATCATTCATCTTCATAACTATTAATAAACATCTTAAATTTTTGTCTTATTTGGGTATATTGGTACAATTAACTAAAACGAGGCTAGATGATAAAATGTTCGTCAAAAGATGACGAAGCATTCTGACTTGCAATTATACTTACGTGTACACTTTTTAATATACATATACATATACATATATTGGATCGGCAGTTGACTCTTATTGTCCATTGGCTTATATATCATTTTTCAATATAATAGATTACGCGACGAATAATCTTCAATGACAAAATGAGTCCTTCAAAAAAGTAAATGAATAAACAAATAAATAATGAGTCGAACGAAAGGAAGCAAAAGACTAATAAGAGCGGTCACAAGGTGTTAGGCGCGATGATTCAAATGTGTCACGACGGGAGAATATAAAGTTATCCGACAGATGAAGAAAGTGTGACGTAACGACGAATTTTTTTCATGTCGCACCCCGCGCCGGTTCAAAGAAAAAAGGAAAGAAAAAAGGGCGAAACTTAATGAAAATTCACTGGTCTCATTATTCTATTATCTCACAATTAACCGGCGATGACGGTAATTTCGCGTGGCATATGGCAGTGGCGTGTGCCACCGTCATCGCCGGCGCGGCGCGGCGCGCACAATACCGCGTGTTATTATATCGGCCGACTGTACTTACATAAATATACGTGGAGAAGACAGGAGCGAGGTGAAACCAGCAGCACGCGTTGCTCCGTTGCCTTACGACGATCGCAACTGACGCCGGCACGATCCAAGTGTGCTTTCGGACAATATAGCACGATGCTTATAGAGGCGGGTTTCGCTGTACTCCACTGTCGTCGTCGTCCTCTTCTTTCATCTCTCTCTCTCTCCTCCTCTTTCTCCTCCTTCTCCTGCCGTCTCCTTCTCTTTTCCTCTTTCTCTCCTTCTCGCTCGTAGGAAACCGCCGTTGGTGTAATTCGGTGTCGCCAATCTGTAATTTGACATATTATTGTTGGAAGACACCAGCGCGAGAGCATCTGCGACGCGTGCAGGCCGCCGTTCCGGCCTCACCTCCTCCATTTTCTTCCTCCTCGGATGCCGCGCGCATCGCCGGAAGACTTTCTCTCCGCTCGACGACGTACCGCGCCGCATATCGAGTCGTGTATATTTGTGTGTGTGTGTATTTGTGTTACGCATTTGCTCGCTTGCGCAAATCCCACCGTTCCGCGGCGTTTCGTGCGCCGAAAAAAGCGGCCAGATAATTGCTACATCCGGCGATTCGTCCGCGGATCGATCATATGCACAGACCGGACGGACGGACGAACAGACAAACGAACGGATACACGGTAGTGAGAAACCTCGCTTTCCGAAGGCAAAACCTGCCCAGATAGACTTTCATAATTATCACAACGCGAGATAATCGATGATGTGTGGGTAATGCAATTTTTTTTATTACATTCATGAGTCAAGTGTGCTGTGTTTAATTAATCTCTAGATTCACATGATACAATAATGTAAATTCTTTGTTGCGTTGATGCAGCTACAAATTTACTAAAATTAACATTCAGATTTGCATATCACATTTTGTAACATATTGTTTTGAACAAATTTTGATTATTCTTCTCACATTTCTATTTCGTCCGTTTATGTGATAAATATGAATGACACTTGTAAGGAACGCAATTTTACAAATTGACTAGTAAAGTTGCTGTCAAATTTATTTATAAGAAGAAAAAATGGTAATATGAGACAAAGCTGATTTCTCAAACAACTATTGCGATTTGTCGTTAACTGAAAATCTAGCCATTGGAATCTTTATCGGTCATCAAAGGAATTGGGCGTCAAGTTATTTACAATGTCGAGAGAAGCCTCTTGGTTTTCTTTCTGTTAAAACTTTTCACAAGTAAAAGTTAAAAAGTTTCTTTTTCTGTATTAATCGAGAAATTTAACATATTTGCTACAGTGTGTCGATTAGTAATAAAATTAGACTTCAAAGTCGCAAAGTTATTTGGAAATATTGTTATTACTTTGAGATTCGTTGGATATTTTGGAAAATAGATGGTAATATGAAACAAGATGTTTCATATTACAGTCATTCTTTTCTTCAGATGTCGCTATGCCAAGAAAGAAATTGAAACGAAAAAATGAGGGACTCATGTCTTATGCAGTGGGTATAAAAATAATGTTTTTGAGGCTTCTGTTCATAAGACTTGAAGAACTTTTATATAATTTAAATTATTGAGTTTACTTATCATAATTTTTTTATTTCCATTTTTAACTTACATTCAAGAAAATTCAATAAAAACAATGGTTTTAACATTAGAATTTGAATAACAATTGATAACAAAAAGTAAGTTTTTTTCTTTTATTTTTGTACCTGTTTCATATTAATATCAATTTTCAATATTGCACTTCTTGCAATGTGTTAAAAAATATTATGCTCTTTGAACACTTTATTTTTTCCTAATAATTATGTATAGATACATTGTAAGAGATATATTTACTAATATCTCTGATAGTTTTTTATTCAATTATTATATTTAATATTGGATTTTTTATCTGAAACAAAAAAGTGATTCATACTGCCATCTTTTCCTTCGCAGTTGTCTATCTGGGTGACCAATTTAATAATGCCGGCTAGAAAACGCCAGCAATGCCGATCTCGATGGCCGTACATGACACTGAACGCGAACTTTACGTCACGCGCACGACTGTCATAGTGTAGCAGTAGTATCTATAATTTACTTTCTCCCGCGGTGTTTCGAGTTAATGTCTCGGGGAACGAATCGCCGCGAATTGGATGACTGTGCCCTGCGCGCATGGCCGTCTGTCCGTTTGTCTCTGAATACTTAATGCCGAAGTTTAACATTGCGCCAGGCCCTGATAAAAAAGCTGATTTATTATGTAGCGAATCGCGGCGATCGCGACGCATAAATAATCACGGGCGAGCGCATTGCGCCGGTCAATCAAGCGTCTTAAGCAAACGGGGTAATTATCCGAAGAACCATAATTGCGAAATTTTCTACGGTGTCGTGAAATGTCGCAAACAAGTCGACCTTAACGCCTTTTTTATTTCTCCCACTCTCACACACACACACATACACACACACACATACACTCTTTCTCTTTTCCATTCCTCCCGCATACAAGTGAGGTTGATTATACGTCCTGTGTTTTTTTAATTAGTCGTTTATTCATCTCGAGGAACATGATTTAAGACACATCGCATCGAGAAATGTCGCGATCGCGAACAGGTTTGGCGATACCAGACGCGTATGCGTCTCCGTAAATTAATAACATTCGTTATTAATAAACAGACCGTAAATTTGCTTCTTCTGAACGTGAACGCGATATACGAAATTTTATCGCACATTTTGTATTCGCGAGCTAAAATGACTTTCTATTTTTATCTCACATTAGAACATCTGCATAATCAAAAGTATTATAAAAATGTCAAAATCAGTTAAAGATATAGGAATTATGCTTCAATTAGTATTCCGTCTGGAGTTACTGTTAGTTTCTTTTTCTCTTCTTTTCGCGCAACACCAGATAATACATCTTGCTACTCTGTAAATTTCTTGAAGTTAATTTTCATCCGAAAAATGGAGTATATAGCCGAATCATTCCAACTAGAGTGACTTCTCATTCTTATGGATTGAATTTTTCACTGCACATCGTGATTCTGATAGCATATTTTACAAGCAAGGAAATGACTGAATCTTACTGTAAACATCATGTTGTGTGACTTCTTCAGTATAATTTATTAAATTTTAAGAAATATATATTTAAGTACAAATATTCTTAACCTCTCTTTTAAAAATATTATTAATAACATTTAAAAACTTTATTAAATTTGCATATTATATTTCTATTATAAGTAGAGTTCTATTATCTGTAGAATTTGGAAATACGTATACATAATAAGAAATATATTTATTAGTCAAACAAACCAACCAAAGTCAAATAACAAAATAAATCGTATAGTGTACCAAATATGGCTGACTAAAAATTCAGATTAAAAATCATGAGTTCGATTCCAGTTAAAAATGATAAACTTTTTCAAGTATAATATGAATGAGAAAGATTAAATGGTGCATAATCGTGCAGATTTCAGACAAATAGACAACGTTTTGCAACAATGCAATAGAAAAGAATATTTATTTTACGCGTTAAAGAATATTTCTCATTCGATAATGAGTAAAAATTCATTCCAAGAAGTTTGGAGAATATTTTGAAAGAATGCGAAAATTTGTTTTATAAAAACGTCACATAGTTAAATAAACTTTAGTCATTGTTCTCGTTATGGCGGCCGGTCTTGTTTAGTCGCGATTATTTATGTTGCATTAAATTAACGTCGATTATTTTATTTTCTCCTCAATACGGGAAAATTTCCGATGCTCGGATCACTGCGTTACGATTTGCTGGACACAGCCTTTTTCCCATCTGATTGCAGAACGGCGGGAGGAGGGTAGCGAGTGCGGCAGCGAAGTGAAACAAGAACCAGACAACGATCCAGAACAGGAACAAGAGACCGAAAACGATCAAGAGGACATTACGTGCCTGTACTGTACGTACCAGCCGACGTCTAGGGAAGAATTACGGCAACATTTGCAAGTGGCTCACGTTCAAGATTCGGAGGAGAAGGCCGAGACGGTAAAGGAGGAGCCACAGCCGGAATTGTTGTGTCCACTGTGCCAAGACAGCTTCAAGGAGCGTCCCGCTCTGGAGAAGCATGTGATGCAAATCCACTCCGTCAACACGGACGGTCTGCAGAGGCTATTACTGTTGGTAGATCAGAGCCATTGGCTGAACAACAACCCACGTAACACCTCGATTCCAGCTGTTACGACGCCAACATCACCCACGACTACGACGAAACCGCAGCAAGAAGAGGAAATGAGCGAGCGGGGTGGTAGCGACGAGATCGAGGAGATCACCAGATGTACCGTGTGCGGCCGGATTTGTCGTTCCATCGAAGAGCTGCAACAACACCACCGGGAGGCACACCCGGCCACTACGCCTACGCTGGCAGTCAGCGAGAAACACGTGTACAAGTATCGCTGCGGACAGTGCAGTCTCGCGTTCAAGACCCTGGAGAAACTCCAGCAGCACTCGCAGTACCATGCCATCAGGGATGCGACCAAGTGCGCCTTGTGCGCACGATCATTTCGTTCGGTCCAAGCGCTCCAAAGACACTTGGAGTCCGCCCACGCGGATCTCCACGAGGACGAGATGGCTCAATGCAAGCAGAGTTTGATCCATGTACACCCGCTGCTTCAGGCGTTCACAGAAGAAGCGTTGAGGAAGCAAGGTGGCCTGATAGTCGAGCAGAACGCGGAGGACGAGGCTGGCAGGGGTGACGAGGAGGAGAGCGACGCAAGCGACTCATCCCCGTTGCACAAGGAGCACCGTCTACTGGAGGATTACCTGAACAGCCCGCAGATGGCCGAAGACAGCTATCACGATCCCAATCGAAAATTCAAGTGCCACCGATGCAAGGTAGCCTTCACGCGGCAGAGCTACCTCAGCGGCCATAACAAGACCTTGCTGCACCGCAAGGGAGAAAAGATGTCTTATCCCATGGAGAAGTATCTTGACCCGAACAGACCGTATAAATGCGACGTTTGCAAGGAGAGCTTCACGCAGAAAAACATACTTCTGGTGCATTACAACAGTGTGAGCCACCTGCACAAATTGAAGCGGGCGATGCAGGAGCAAGGTAATAACAACACGTTAATCTCGGTCGCACCGCCGGCAAGTCCGACTGAGTCGCCGGACTCCCAGCAGGATCAGGACAAAAAACCCTACAAATGCAACATCTGCAAAGTCGCTTATTCTCAAGGCAGTACATTGGATATCCATATGAGAAGTGTGCTTCATCATACGCGCACTAGTAAACTACCGGATCTGGCGGCTAGTGGACAAGTGGACCTTGGCAGGCCGTTGATCGAGCAACCACCGCCAAGCAGCCCAAACAGTCCACCCGTCAATACCAACACAAGCAACGCGGGCGGGATGTTGACTTGTCAGCGATGTAGCGCGCTGTTCGTTAATCAGGAACAACTGGCGACGCATCAACAGCTCTATTGCATTTTCACGAATCCACTAGCGTTGTTTCAACAGTTTACAGCGGCGCAGCAGTTGGCCTCGTCCACCCCGGCCAAGACTCCGCCGCCTACGTCCACTACGCCGGGACCTCAACACATGCAACAGACTACTCAGCACTCACAGACGCCGGACATTCTCTCGCAGCCGCGGCACAAGACCTCGCATATGTACAAACACCTGTTGGAAAGCTTCGGCTTTGACCTTGTGATGCAGTTCAACGAAAATCACCAAAGACGCCGAAAGGAGGAGGAGGTGGCCGCCGCTCTGCAGGCGCAGCAGGAACAGCAGAAACAAGAGCAGCAGAAGCAAGCTCTCGCAGCGCAAGCTGCACAAGAGCGAGAAGAGGAAGCCGAGGAGCACACTGACGATGACGTGATACCCGAGTTAACGCGCAGCACTTGCCAGCACTGTAACAAGGAGTTCAGCAGCGTCTGGGTGCTTAAGGCTCATTGCGAAGAGGTACATCGCGATCTAGTACCGCGGGAGTTTCTTGAGAAGTACGTCCAACAGTTCAAATGTGAGTATGAGAAGAAAAGCGTCGTAGTGACCGTGGCGACTTCTTCGTCAACTACTACTGCGCCGCGGAGTTCGACTCCCGCTGCTGCGCAACCACAAGATCTCAGTGCCGATAAGGAGTCGCGCGAAAAGGAGAAGGAGGAGATCGACAGCAAGGAGCGCATTAGCCGTACGCCGGAAGCCACGTCCACCACACCGGCGACCACCCCAGCGTTAAGCAATACTCCCGTCTCCAGCACGGATTCTACGACACCGACTGCGATGCCTAGCAATTCGCAACATCACATTCAGCAGCAACAACAGCAGCACCAACAACAGCAGCACCAACAGCAGCAACAGCAACAGCAACAACAGCAGCAGCAGCAGCAGCAGCAGCAGCAGCAACAACAACAGCAGCCGCCGCATGTTCAGAGCATCTCATTGGCGCAACAAATGTCGGAAATGCAAGCTGCTATAAACGCAATGGCGGCATCGCAACTGCAACATCAGCTGCAGCAATATCCGGGACTGATGATGGGGATGATGGGTTTACCATTGGGATTGAACGCTCATGCTTTGGCCGCCATGAATCTACAGCCGCCTCTAGTGCCAATGATGTTACCGCCACCGCCGTATGACGGCGCTACGGCCGGATATCCTTCGATCAACGCTCAAGCAGATCTTCTTGCCAAGCAACATCTTGCTCTTCAGCAGCAGCAAGCAGCAGCAGCGGTATGTCTTGTATATATGCATGCCTCATATAATTGTTAATATGTGCGTTAATATATCGATATTGTTGTCGATATATAGGTTTACACGATTTAGGTGATTTTTCGACAACGTCTCAAATTTCTTAATTTCTAAAATTGAAAAAGTTATTTTCGGAATATAGCTCGCGGTATCGTTAAAAGTAACTCAAAAAGTAACGGGTTAATACAATTTTCGTTACTTTCTTCGGCAAGTTTTGGAGGAACTCTTTTTTAGAATTTGCTTCTGTCTATTTTTTATAAAATATAATATTTCTCGTGTATAAAGTACAAAAAGTAACGAGATTATATTCATTACCATTACCTAAATTATTGTTGATGTTATTAATAAAAAAAAATAATATAACGCTGTTACCAAGTCATTACTGAAGGAAGTAAGTTGTGAGGATAATTTATATAAATTTCACTGCGCTGTTCTTCTTCGCGGAGTAATAATTTTTTTACTAAACGGCATGAAAATGGAGATGTGAGGAAAAAAGAAGAATATTAAATCTCTTTTTTGAGACTCGTAACGCAAAGTGTCATGCTTACGAAGCACACATATAGAATATCTATAAAAAAGAGTCAAATATAAATAAAGGAAATAAAGAATCTAATGTATAAATAAAGAATAACAATAATACACGATTGCATAGAGAACGAAAGTGAAGCTGGGATCACACTGCATTCACGATTTCGGATCTTCTGCAACGCATGCCAACTGGCAAGTTGTAGACAGCTCAGTCTATTGCATAGATCTTCTAATGTACGTTAGCGATTCATGCAGTGAACTGAACTGTTTAAAGCGTGTCGGTCAGCATGCATGTGAGAAGGCGTAAAATCGTCTTGCGTCGTGTGATCCTAGCTTAAAGCAATTCTGGTCTTACAGGCGAATGTTGCGGCATCGCAGAAACGAGCACGTACGCGTATCACTGACGATCAACTAAAGATATTGCGGGCCCACTTCGATATTAATAATTCGCCTGGAGAGGAACAAATTATGGAAATGGCTACTCAAAGCGGTCTACCACCTAAAGTTATAAAGCATTGGTTCCGTAATACGCTGTTCAAAGAACGACAACGTAATAAAGATAGCCCTTACAACTTCAATAATCCGCCGAGCACTACTCTGAATCTCGAGGAGTACGAGAAGACCGGTGAAGCGAAGGTGACTCCGTTAAACTCCAGCGTGTCGGGAAGCAGCTCCTCCGATGACAAAAGCCCGAATAAACAGGCATCACCGCCACCGTCGATGCAGAACGTGAGCACGTCGCAACAGCCTGCCGAGATCAAACAGGAGGCACCCGAGCAGACGCAGTGCCAGCAACAACAGCAACAGCAGGCGTTGCAACATCAGGAAGACCAGCAACATCACTCCCCCGGTAGCTCGGGTGGCCAACAATCGCGACCACACTCACCCGCTCTCAGCATGAGCTCCGTGTTCTCCGGTATCCATCACGACGTTTCGTCCCATCCTTCGACAACCACAAACGCCCCTAGCACTCCGATGTTACCTCCGCCGAAATTGACGCCCCAGAACTTTGTTAATCCAACGCCGGGAGCAGGCAGTGTTGTGCCAGGCGCGATCGCCGCCATGGCACTCACTCCGCAGAGGTCCCTCAGTCCGGGTCGCGGGCCGACGGATTATTCCTTCGTCGGCAATAGTAACGGCAGCAACTCGTCCGGCAGTAATTCCGGTAAGCGTGCCAACCGCACTAGATTCACCGATTACCAAATTAAGGTTCTCCAGGAATTCTTCGAGAATAACGCGTACCCGAAGGATGACGATTTAGAATATCTCAGTAAACTCCTGAGTCTGAGTCCTCGCGTGATCGTAGTGTGGTTTCAAAATGCTAGACAGAAGGCACGTAAGGTCTACGAGAATCAACCCGCGCCCGAGCTCGTAATACCGGGCGGACGCGAGAGCGATGACAGCAGCGGCAATGGAAACGTACCGGGTAGATTTCAGAAAACAGGTTCGACGTACCAGTGCAAGAAGTGCCTGCTCATATTTCAGAAATATTATGAGCTCGTGCGCCACCAGAAGTCGCACTGCTTCAAGGAGGAGGACGCGAAGAGAAGCGCCCAAGCTCAGGCCGCCGCGGCGCAAGTTGCTGCGATTTTAAGCTCGGAAGATAGCAACAGCAGTTCCACCACAACCGCGAACAACACGGTGACGGGCAGCAATCCATCGACCGTGTCCGCGCTTGCTGAACAGTTGCAGCAATCATTGAACACCGTCACACCTCCGCACCATCAGCAACAAACGTTGACGCAGACCCATCAGCAGTCACAGCAACAACAGCAGCAACAGCAGCAGCAACAACAGTCGCAGTCGCAGACGGAATCGAAAGAAGGCAGCTTTCAATGCGACAAGTGCAACTTGATGTTCGGACGCTTCGATCTTTGGCGCGAGCACCAATTAGTACATATCATGAACCCGTCCCTATTTCCGCCGTCGTACCCACCTGACTCGCCCTTTGGAATTTTGCAACAGCAAGCTCTGAACGCTACCACCGGAGTCGCAACAGAAGCTCCGCATCCGCTTATCACTCTGATGCAAGAACGCAAAAGGAAGTACGACGATTTCGAGGAGAGTACGGGCGGAGACACTCGTTCGAATTCCGAGCACAGCGAACAGCCAAAGGACAAGCGTCTGCGTACAACGATACTCCCGGAACAATTGGACTATCTCTACCAGAAGTATCAAGTAGAGTCGAACCCATCGAGGAAGATGCTGGAGACGATCGCGCGCGAGGTCGGCTTGAAGAAGCGCGTGGTGCAGGTATGGTTCCAAAATACCCGTGCTCGTGAACGCAAGGGACAGTTCAGAGCCCACAGCCAAGTGATCAACAAGCGCTGCCCCTTCTGCCCGGCGCTGTTCAAGGTGAAGTCTGCGCTGGAGACTCACCTCAGTAGCAAGCACGCCGACCAAGTAGCGCGCGGCGAAGTTAACATAGACAACATACCGGACGAGGAACTCTCGATGGAGTCGGCACCTTCCAATTCCAGCACCCCCAACATGATGCCGCCAATGTTCCCCCCACTGACCAGTGAGGTGGAGGCTTCTTTGAAAAGATACTACGAGGAGTCGATGAAACGATACATTAGTGAACTACAGGCGCACGCTAGCAACGGCAAGCAGGAGACGTCGAACCATCAGGCCAGCAGCGGCGAATCACCGTTAGATTTGAGCAAACCAGTCGACCTCAGCCGTCCAATGATGAAACTAAGTTTGGGTGGTTTGAGCAATCTCCTTGAGGAACAACACGGAGCACATTTTCGTGGCGGTAGCGACTGCGGGCCTCTCACCGACCTGTCTGAGCGCAGTGTCTGCGACGAAGATAGCATGAGTGAGACCACGGAGTTTCTGGACGATGAGAGCGGACCGGCAAGTCCGGCATCGAGCACTCAGAGCTCAAGGCAGGGACCTGCCAGCGGAGGCACTGGTAATACCACCGGCGGACCATCGGCGACAAGTGGTCAGTCGGGCGGCAACGCCAGTCAATCCGGAGGCAAGCGTTATCGCACGCAAATGTCGGCTACTCAAGTGAAGGTGATGAAGTCGCTGTTCTCGGATTACAAAACGCCTACGATGGCTGAATGCGAGATGCTCGGCCGCGAGATCGGACTGCCAAAGCGCGTCGTTCAGGTGAGCTTCGAATATTAAGAATAATCATTATTTCTCGCGTAGGGTGACCTGTCCAGTAATTGAACACCACCCACCAGATTGCAGTTTATTTATTATAATATTGTAGTTTATTTATTATAATTTATATAATTTATTTATTATATAATTTATTTATTATAATATTTATTATAATATTAAGATATATGACGTACTTTATAATGCAAGTGAGTAATTAAAAATAACTCACAGGTTAAGTAATTATGTCAAAAAAGGTGCGTCACAGAAGACTAACCTGGCTTATTCAAATATTGTAGTTTGGTGCTTAAATATTCACATTTGTAGATCTTAAAACCTGATCTATGTATTCTTTGTTTCCTGTTTCTTTCTGACTCAAACCTTAAACCTTAAGCTTTAAGAAGAAGATAGGGAACCAGAAACGAGAAGCAAGAATACATTGTAGGTTAAACTAAAGTGTTCATTTATTGGACAGATCACTCTATCGTTATCTACGTTTCGTTCGCTGATCTCTTCAATTTCACAAAACTTTTGTAGTAACGACTACATGTTGCTTTCATTAATATCGTTGCGTTACTCGACACTCCCGTTAGGAAATCCATGTCTCCAAAACAAGAGCACTCAAAGATTTGTAGTCAGTCTTGTTCGATATAATATACAGGCATATATTCCCTCTTGGTGTCGAGAAAATTTCCGTCAACAAGCGCTGTTCAAAGGAAAATCGCGATGACGCGAACGCGAATGCGAATGCAATTGATGGTGGCACAAGACTAACGGGAGGCGAGGTGCAGGTCTGGTTTCAGAATGCCCGCGCTAAAGAGAAGAAGGCTAGGCTAGCAGCGGGTCTCCCGGCAGAGGGATCAGCTGTGCAACCACATCGCGGGCCAACCGGGCCCGACGAATGTAGGTTGTGCTCCGTGCGATATTCGGCCAAGACTCCGCTTCAGGAGCATGTGTTCTCGCGGCGGCATATCGAGTCGGTGCGCGTCGCTGTCGAAGAGGGTAGCCTCGTGCCACCGACTCCTGGAGCACCTATCGTACCCGGTGGTAGTGGCGCCGTCGGTGTATCGGGCATCGGCAACTCGTCGGTAGTTTCCGCGGTTAGTCAGCAAGTTAACCAGCAGCAGCAACAGCAACAGCAAGCGGACGAAAACATGATGTACGGATCCTTGTTCCTCCACCCCACGGCAATGTTCCAATCGCAGCAGCAGCAACACCCCGCAGGCGCTGCCACGAGCACAACTACGACCACGGCTGGTGAGTGTCTGGCTGACCTCTTAGACTCGTGAAGAGGGACGGGATCAAGTATGAGCGAGTGAAACTGTACTTTATATTGAGGCTTTAACGAATTTTTGCTTATATAACGTTAAAACAGTTGGTAGTTGATGTCAAAAGTTTGAGTGCGGAGCAAAAAAGGGGAAATAATTCCTGTTTGCCAATTTAGTAGGTACATTGTGTCAGTACGATTTAATCGAGCCGATCGAATTGACAAATCGAGCAAGATCATGTGATATATTGCGTTTTTATTACTTGAGAAAAAAATTCGTTTGTTAAATAAGACAGATATTTAAAAAGAAAAGAATGTAAATAACGCGCGTGTCTATTATTCTCGTTATATTTTTTGTTGTTGTCGTTCGTTAACATACGGATATACACAGGGGATATAGTTATACATTTTTACATATATACTTAAAATGAACGAGACATTTACAAAGAGCCACCCTAAAGAATTCTTCCGGCCCTCATCGCCGAGTTGACCTTCTCTCGACTTTATTCACTTGAAGACGTACAAATTTAACATTTTTTAGATTAACAATTTTGACAATTTCCCCTCTTCTCCATCGCGAATAAGATAATACTGCGAGGAGGAAATCGCAGAGCAGACAGGATTCGAACTTGGGTCTCTTTCCTTGCCTTATCACTGAGCTTTGATGTAAATATCAGGCCGGTTACCAGGCTGCGACGGCTTTTAAGTCACTCTCTGGCATGGCTCACAATCGCGGTCTTGTTTATCATCCAGTATTCAATATTTGTGTCGTGACGTTTAATCGTGATATTTAGGAATGCCATTCCGTTTTAATGAAATGATATTTAGCTGTTGAATCAACTGAGATTCACGAGTGCATACTGAACTTGATCCCGTGCCGACTCACGAGCGAGCGTAGGACGCCAGTTAGGTTCGAAATTCGTGATTGGTAAACAGAGTGGATATCTCATGTCGTTTTATATCCTCCTGAAAGAGAAGAGGGCGGCATTTGAGAGCGAGATTCTCAATGCACGCATAACGGAGGATATAAAAGGGAACTTTCGACCGAAAGTCTCGCCTCCGGTACACCAGTGCGCTTTCCGTTATGAGCTCACGAAAAATGACCTCGTAGTGTTCGTGTTTTTCACAGATTTTCCACTACTAGACTAACGTCGCGACAAGGAATTTCGAACTTGCGGGCGTTACGTCGTTGTATGTTGTGTACGTATCCTTTGTGTATCGCGTGTGTCTATCTTTACCTTTGTAAAATCGGGCCTGTGTGATATCCTAGGGGGCCCAAACCAACTGCGGCTTGTTTGGAACACTTGTCTTTAGAATTTTATATATACGGAAAAAAAAATATATATATAGCCCGAGTATATAATATATCCAGATATAAGCGCAATAATGAAAGTTCCTATCAGAATCCTATTTTAGCGTGCGCGTGAGAACTAAAAAAGCGTCATAATTACAAATAAGTAAGCGGTTGCGACCGAGATAATGAGAGTGTAGATTTGAATGAGAGAAGAATACGTAAGAGGAAATGAATTAAAACTGATTTTTCTTTTTTTTTTCCTTTTTTTTCTTTTCCTTTTTTTTAGAAGATGGATATCGCATAATCATCGATACTAAGTTGCCTATACGCCTAAACAATGCGTACAGCGCGCTGTATAAACTTCCAAATTATATTAATTCCAAATTATATTAAAGCTATTTTTATTACATCTTACACGCGTAAGGCTTAGCCTTGTTTACTTGAATTACTCCAAGTATTTCGATCGAGCGTAGAATAGGCGGAGAGAAAACAAGAAGGGAGGATACATATTATATATTTAAGTTCTAATCGTCGCGCGACATCGTCCTAATATTATCGTCATTATTTGCGAAGCCATTCCAACATCTCGACGCCCTTCGAACCCCCAATCTCTTTTTCTCTCTCTTTCTCTCTCTCTCTCTCTCTCTCTCTCTCTCTCTCTCTCTCTCTCTTTTTCTTTCTCTCTCTCTTGCTGTGCGCTCAGAGCGCAGCAAACTGTAAATACTTCGCAGATCCTCGCTCGACTGAGACTACTCGAAGCCGTATTCTGATTCTCAAACCGCGACACACAGCGTTCATACGTGACGCTCATATAAGAAAAACGTAACTTAGAGTTAGACTCGCATATCTGTCGCTCGCTGTGCGCCCAGAATACGGCTCCCGACGTAGACAGCTCGTCCTCGCGGGCGTCCGGCTTGCATCCCGGCGTCCATCGAACGGTACCGGCTAGGACAGACATATTCGCGGGTGACGAATAACGATTTTGAGCTCGCGTGCATGCGTACACGTGTATTTGAGATCGACATTCGTTACGCACGAGTGCGCATTCTCTGCCCAATACCCGGCCGTCGTGTTACGTCCTAAGCTTGTTGACGATACTGATCCCTCGCGTTTAGCATATACAAGCACTGTCCTTCGTCGCCGCGTCGCGCCATGGTGCGTTTATCTGCCATTAACGACGACGTCGATCGTACACGTATACACACAACGCATACACACACACAACACACACACACACACACACACACACACACACACACACACACCGTAACTACTATTAATTATTATTTTGTCTTGCGCGTTAGTTATTTATGATGAGCCTTCTTTGTGATGATCACGCTCTCGTCTGCCCACGCGTCCGATTGGACTCGGAACCGGATGTCTCGACCTTGAACAGCTGGCGGTGCGCGTTCGTTTACTTCTCTCTCTCTCTTCCTTCGAATTTATTTTATTTTACTCCGCGTATTCGTAACCGACGAGGGTGTGGCTTCGCTTCTCGCTTTCCTTTCCTGACCCACACGATTCGTATACACTCATTCATTTCAGCTGCGTAAGTACACTCGCATACATGTACAATGTTATTTACGTCACAGTAACATGTCCCATCTCGCGATATACTTTAATGTATATAGTTATTATCATTCTATTATTATTATTATTATATTCTTATCATTATATAATTATTATATAATTATTATTGTCCATTAATTATTATTATTATTATTATTATTTTATATTATTAATATTATATTATTTTTCTGCGTTTCTAGTCTAAAATAAAGATGTATCATATTACTTTTTTTTTTGTTTTCTTCTTGTGTTTTATAAAACTTTTAGTTTCCTATCCCGAACATCCTCTCTCGATCTCTGCCGTCGAGGTTCGCGGGCAGGATGGTCACGACGAAAACATTTTGGTAAGTCGCGATTGCTGCGGAGCTTATCATTTAATTAGATGCGAATCAATGGAAGCAAATGATGGAGCCGCAAGCTCCGAAACTTTAGAGTTAATCTGTTCCCTTTCGAGTAATTGCGGAAGAGAGCAATGTGAGTAACAATGTGAAAGAGCAAAAGTGCACTTTGGAATATTCCGTGTCGCACGTCTCGTCGTAATTGAATATAAGTTGTATTAATACGTACAGACGTGGCGTTACATTTAATTGTCGAAAAATCTACGCATAAAACCGTAAACTTGATCTTCTCCATCGACTCTATTTTCCATCAGTGAACAAAAATTAACACATTATTAAACGGCTGTGTTTTTCAACATTGTCCATCCCGTTTTTTGACTACTGTTTTTCATGAACTATTGTCGAGATGCGAGGCAACTCGCGTGATTGGTCAACAATGTATTGAGATTCTGATTAAATCGACATGCACGACATTGTCGCTACTAACCAAACCCATAACCGCGATCGTATGATAGGATCATAAGTCAGATTAGTAGCGCTGTAAACTGGGAGACTAATTCGCATCCGCTTAGTAAATTAAAAGTGACAGGGAAGCACTAAGGTGACGTGTTCGCTTGAGACCCGCACCCATCGTTCGCCGCCGTTTTCAATAGCTCTCTTGAATAATTTTTTCTGCTCGACGGGACAATTCTTTTTGTTATTCACGCGATACAAATGTCGGAGAAGATATAATCAAATCTAATAGTTGAATACTCACGAGAGAGATTCCTGAGTCTCAGACCGCTATTGACAGTTGTCATTTGAAACTTGTCTCGTACAAAATACTCTGATTTTTTTCAGAATTAAAGTTTTTTAATTGAATTATGATATATATATAACATTTATATCTCTGTGATCGCAACTGAAAAACTAGTCATTCTAAAATTAGTAATTCTAAATTGAAGTTTGAGGCCTATAATAATAGTCGTCAATTGAAACTTGTCTTATGTGAGACACTCAGATTTTTATTCAGAGTTAGATCTAAATTTTTCAGTTGATATATGTGCGCGGAAAAAAATGTTTGGATGAACCAATTTCTTGAAATGTCAAATTTAATTCCGTAAAATATAAACGATTCAGAAATTTCGGCTGAAGTTATCAGAATTCAGAAATTATCAATATTTCTGATTGACTTACACAGAATTCTGATAATTAGAATGTCTGAATCGTTTACATGTCACCAGAAATTGATTCATTCGACCAAACATTTTTCCGTATGACATTTACATCTCTGTGATCGCGATTCAATTGGAAAACTTTCATCTTGTTCTGAACTCAAGTCTGAGTATCTCGCTTGAGACAAGTTTCAAGCAATAATTATTAATACGAACCATAGATTTATATATAGACTGCATATTATAGGATTGCAGTCAACATCAGTAAGAGAGGGCAATAGATGGTAAGATGCTTTCCTTGTCCAGTTGTCTCGTTGGTGCAGAGAAGGCAAAAGGAAAAGCGATCAACGTGGCTTCTCTTTCGCTATGTTTCTATCTCCCTTTTGTCTCGCCTACATCGCCTCCTCTTACAGTACTGGGTGACAGAGAAAGCATCTTACTCGACATATCTCTGTTCTCCACTCTTGTCTTCAACCGCCTTGTAAAAATGCGCAGTCAATCTCTATAAGTCTACAATACAGACCCCTTACAAGTCGAAAAATATAAATTTTCCGCGGGCATCACACGATTCCTTTTGATAAACGCGATATAAATCAGAGACAACTCTGGAGAAGGATAGAGAGAAGGATCGAGGAGAGCTCGGTGAGCTCGCGAGATAAATCGAGAGATTCAACGGGCTCGTTCGCTTCAAGAGCCGGGCAAGAAGCGCGGGTATTAATTAGTCGCGGTGATTTTTCGAGGCGTCTCGGGCCGCAACAAAAGCGACGTAGAGAGATACGCGACAACAAGCCGACGCGCGGGACCATTGTGCGCGTGGTCATGGTCGTTCATCGACAGTCCAGCTCGGCGTCCACCGCGCGAGCCGCTTCGATAAAATTCCCCAAACGACCGCGATCGGCCACCTTGAATAGAAGGAGGCGCGCGGAGGAAAGAGGAACAATAGGCGTCGATATCCGCCTGGGAAAATTGATTTTCCCGTGATGGAGTGCTGTCGACTGGGATTCTCCCTGCCGCGTCGCTTCTTTTCTCTAGCACGAGTGAGCGAGCGACTACAGCTAGCTAGTTTCGCTACACATAGATCGTTATGAAGTTGTTGCTATCGCGCGTTAGATACCGAGCGAACAACACCCCGAGGCCTCGCGCTTGATCGGCTATATCCATTATTTTGTTTCCTCCTCTTGGAAAAGATCGCGCGTTCTTGAATATTTATCGGCGGGCAAACAAGCGCGTTTTAATGCGACGCACGATTCAAGAGCCGACGGAGCCAACGGAGAGTCTTCGCACGAGTTACACAAGCGGGCTTTTTATTTCTACCGCTCGCGCGAAAGCCGGGGCCTCCCATAGAATTCCGCGCGAGAAGTGCGAGACGGATCTCTCGAGGATCCCGCGGATCACACATACACGACGGCCCCGAAAGCGCCCTCCTGAAGAATAAGAGCAAGAGAATCTATCGCGCAGAACCACCATTGAAATGTTATGCTAATGTTGAGTACACAGCGGAGCGAGCAAACGTGCCATCGCGCCGCGGCACGTGTCACATCGACACTTCCGTCTACCTATGTCTAAACATTCCCTCGAGTTCCTCGATACGAGTTTCGGCGCGAGGTAGGATAAAAAAGGAGCGGAGAGGTGAGGAGAGGAGGAGAAACAGCAGGGACTTGTACAAATTCACGCCAACCCTTCCGTCTCGTGGCGGGCCACGTGTCGCCTCCGCGAAGACAGCCGGGCAAGGCGGAGACGCCGCGAGCGCGTACACACGCGTCACTCCAAAAACCGTATGCTAATACGACTTGCGGGATCTCTTACGGCACGGTGTGTATTCAGGTAGACTTTCTTCATTATCACCACATGAGACACAAATACAATCGATGAAACGAATCTACAATGTTTTTCTCATCACGAGTTTAAAACTCGCGGATGAAACTCTACACGGAGGAAAAAGAACATTCTTGTTTGGAAAATAACCTTATTTCTGACACGTTAGTCTCCAAATGAGGTTACACAGTGTTATAAATGAAGATAAGTTATCTGCAAGAATGTATTTTATATGATTCAACACAAAAAAATTTGTTCTTATTATTTGAAAATAATTTTAATTAATGAAAAGCACAAAATATTAGATTGGAAATATGATGTTTTCAATTATATCGGAAGAAGATTATCATTATCGCCAAAATAATCATATTGTATTTCTTATGAAAGACTATTATAATATCCAAATAAAAGTATAACATTGATGAAATTTAAGATTTTGAAATTCTTCTAACAAAATTATATATCGTTGTTCATATATAAACAGCGATTATTAATTTGAATGTATTAATTTTGAGATTCTAATTTTGTTTTCTGTTACATATTATATAATAACGTAAATTCTTTGTTACATTAATGCAGAAATAAATATATTCAAGGTTTACACTCAAATTTTCATATTATACTTTATTGTTTTGAGCAAATCAATTTTTTCTTATTTCTGTTTCGTCATTTTAAATGATAAATATGAGCACTAAAAACTTATAAAGAACGCAATCTTTACAAATCGACTAGTATAGTTCCTGTCAAATTTATATGTATCTGTCTATCTGCTAAGATCATTTCATGCTTTCAAGTTTTCAGTTTATCAGCAACAATCGAGCTCTGCAATTTTTTAATTACATTTATAAGGCAAAATATACTGTATTAAATTAATCATTTATTTTACATCATAATGTAAATTTAGCACATAATTTACTCAAAGTTACATTCAGAGATTTATTATCAGAGATATTACCTTCTGCGTGACATATTGTTTCGAGCAAATTCTGATCATTCTTTCGTATTTCTATTTTGTCATTCCGTGTTATATAGATCTGAAGTACTCATAAGGGACGCAACCTTGACAAGCCGACTAGTAAGTCTGCGTTCGGAAACGTCACTCAAGTGTACCCGTTGCATTGGAGTGAGCAAGATATAATAGTGAGATAAAAAGAGAGGGAAAGTACTCGAGTGACGTTTCCGAACTCAGCATAGAGCTGCTGCCAAATTTACCAACACCTATCTACCTGGATACACACGTACACGCATACGTGGACCGTGTTCCTAGCACGTTTTGTAGTACCGCCGATTGGCGGCGGCGGCGGAACGATTATACGCGCGATTCGTGAAATTATGCAAAGTACACGGCGTGCGAGCGAGCGAGCGAGTCAGCCAGCTAGCGAGGAAACTCTTCTCCCTCGCTCCGCTCGCGTGCTTCGCCTCAGCGTCGACGAGGGGTGCGCGAGCGACGCGCACGGTAGGCACGTGGCGCCGTATTGGCAGAGGAAATGCAAATGGTAATTTCTCTCTTGGGATTGAGCGTGTTTCTCTTTGTCTGTGGTGGAAGGAGAACGCCGCCGGTGGTAGGCCGCGGTTGCGTGTGCCCCCGCTGTACGTTGTCCGCTGGATATTGAGTCGTCCGGTAATCTGAGATCTCCCGTTCCAACGGCGCACAGTGCGTAAAATTGTAGCGCGGTATTTCCTCCGACTCCGGCGTTCCTCGGGGGCTCTCCGTCCTCCCTCCCCCTTTCGCGGAATGAAAGCGTTATAAAGAAGAAAAAGGAAAAAGTGTCGCACCATTCGGCCGTCGCTTCGAGTTGTCGATCGGAAACTCGATTGTTATGTAAAGGTGATTGCGAAATTCATGGTGTAGCGCGGTAATGAAGCGAGGAGAGACGTACACAGACCGCCATAATGGCATCAACTCTAGATTGCCAATACCAGTAGTAGCAGTAGTAGTAGCAGTTAGTCCATTATTGCCAATGTGGAGTCATTTGGATCCCCTTAATTGTTTTTCCGCTTGTAATCTGCCTTAATGTTTTCAATCATTTTTTACAGAAGAAAAAATAAAGTACTGTTAATTACAAACATTTTTCTTTACTAAATTGTTACTCGAAGTGCAGATCAAGACGACTACGGTAGTGTTACAAGTAGTCTACGGTTAATATGTCGTACCAAATTATTAGGATTTTCCTAAAAGTATATGCAATATTATATCACATTATTGATAATATTATATCATATTATTGATTATTTAAAGAAACAAGAACGATGAGACAAAAAGATACACTGAGAAAAAAGTTTATAATATTTGTGGATATAATCGCATGGTGCGAAATTTGTAGTTGAAACATTTTTTGTAATAAGTATTGCTATAGTGTTAGTAATAATAAGTCTTATATTGCATATTGCTGCTACTTTTTGTTAAAACAACAAGAAGACAGCTGCCGCCAAAAATGACTGTAATTTTAGTGAGATTAACCGATTTCTCCTCAGAGCATATCTATCACAACGACAGCTCTGTGTTAATGTATAGGAACAAATATATACAAAATGCTAATAATCTAATTATACTGAATGTGTTAAAGCTGTTATACCGATTTGTGTATATTCTGCAGTGAAACGAGACACGAGAAATACATACATATTGTATCTTTGTAAAGAAAGAGGATAGTCGGCGAATGCTTTCCCGTAAATCAGATTGATAACACGTGGACGTCGCGTCGAATTCATTAATCGTCGAATATCGCATGGCCGAGAAGTTTTCTGCGGGCAGAGAGCGAACGTTGCGGGCTTAGAATTATGAATGCATCCGGTATTGAACATGTTTCAGCCTTAGGATTACTTTATCTTCATTATTAAGTCTTACACTCCTCGTAGATCAGGATCATGTCGGCTTTATCCGCGGTAGTCGACGCCACGGCTAAATGGCTTTTCACTTCTCGCAAAAATCTCACATTAACAGGGGAACCTCTAAACGTCGCGGTAAAACATTAGTTCAATACTAGTTTAATACCAGTGCATGCTGGGGGATTAAATGACGACTTAATCGCCCGACAATTGTGACAGTAACCGCGTAATCGGCAATATCGTTTCTGTAACTTCTTCATTCCGAGCGCTTTGGCAATTAACGCGACGGTTGTCATTGTCGAATCACCGTTAAGTCGGCACTCCGCGACTGAAATTGTCGACACCGCTCTTCCACTTGGCAAGCAGGAGGTACAAAAGTGTAAAGTAAAAGTACCAATGTGCTTGTGAGCATTAATAACATTGATACCGCGAACTCT